TACATTTATAGTTTTACAACTAAAACCGTTTTTGACGCTGCCACCGCAGTTTGTCCTTCATGGGCCGTCATAGACAAGATGGCGGCTGCTTGTACTGGTGACCCGCGACCATGGAGATATAAACAGCCTTTTATAAGGTAAAAATAATAAAACAAGGTCTTTGTCTGCAAAGATTAGACATGTTTTTTTTATTATTGTCATTAGTGATTATCTCAATTTCGGCTAAAAGACTTGACAAAATCCTACACACTGTGCCTTTACCTATTTACCCTAGTTTTCTTGTTTACATGAATCTGGTCTTTTCATTTGTCCTGATGTGCAAAAATAATAATAAATAGTAAAATTCACGATATTCTTTTAGCTTTATAATATCACCTCCACTGGTCATAAAGGTTCCTGAAAAGGCCCAGAAAAGGCCCACGGACCAGCAGTTGATAATCGCAGTTGTAGCTTGTTTTGTGGCTCTGAACACATTTTATTAGTGAGACAAGGAGCAAAAATGGCTCTTTTGATCCTAAAGGTTGCAGACCCCTGCTCTAACATGTCAACTTTTTTCTTCTCCCTAATAGGAACTTGCGTGCTGCCAGCCTGATGCACAATAAACCACACACCCATGCAGAACAAACAAAAAAGGGGAGTGGTCTAAATATAGAGCTTATGCTCTTAAAAGGGTAACAGAAAAGTATCCAGGCTTCCTCCGGCACTTCCTCTTCTGCACCGAGAGGCACATCACTTCCTGAAACGAGAGTCTCGGTGTTTCGGCTGTGCTGACTTTGTTTCCTTCAGAGCTGCAGTGAAAGAGTGAACCAGCTGTGTTTCTGCATGAGGCTGCACTGACAAACGTCTCTGTCTCACCAGGTTTTATTCTCAACCCGGCAGTAAGTTCATACGTAAGTAAACTGCTGGCAAAACGAAGCTTTGTGTCTAAACCTTTTATTATTTTGTTAAATGTAAAGGTGTTTTATAACAGTTCTCTCTTTCATCAGTTTGCATTCTTTGAGTCACTTATCTGAGCTTGAATGGAATCTGCTAATGGAGATAACAGATATAATTAGCCTTGTGGCTCATAATGCACTGTGCTGTTTATCTTCCTGTTTGTTTTGACAGATTAGGAAGAGAGGTTTTAAAATGTCAGAATTTAATGCTTTAAATTGCAGTTCTGTGACACAGAGACTCTTTTTCACAGAATAAAAAAATGTGATGCTTAGTGTTCACAGGTGACTTAAAACAAAACAGTTGCAGCTTTTTCTGTTGAGTTTGTACAGATTTTTATCAAAGTCAGGGTGTGTTCCTGCCACAGTTTCCACCCAGCACAAAGACAAGCCTGGTCAAGCACACAGGAGAAGATCTGTCCTTCCTTCTTGCAGATCTTTTTTTCTTAAGCTGCTCTATTAAACTGCCGGCACGCCTACATGAACCTGTTTTTATGGGTTGGCAGGTTTTAGCTTGGTAGTGAGACGACAGCAAACATCCCAGAATGTTTTTTCATACTTTAACACGCTGAGTTTGAAATGTGTCAGTGGGAACGCACACACAAACACTGGCCCGATAACAGCCAGCAGCTAAATTTCAAGGCAACACATTTGGCAAACATATTAATAAAGCAGCAGTCAATATTTCTTTATTCCACACCAAAGTCCCTGTCAGCTTCATGCTTTTTAACCTGATAATGTGTTGGAAAAAACTGGGAAATTACATCAGATCCACAGAAAAAAAGAAACATCCATGTGCCAAACTTTAAGACAATCAAGTATTCAAACACTACACAATCTCTTTATAGATGCATGACATCATCAACATGGAAGTAACTGAACTGGTTTTCAAAAAACAAAAATCTATTTTGGTAATGTTAATCAAATTTGAGGAACAAAAAAACTAAGGAAGCACAGAACCCATCATGTTAATAACACTTTACAGAGTATTATCAAGAGGTGGGCACGTATCAAGACAACAGAAATACATCATGAACCATTTTAACTTTGCGCCGCAGTTCTCTGAAGAATAATCTAATCAAACCATGAAGTGCTGAAAGACTCACCCCTACAGCCGTGTGTGTTTAAAGGCACAGAGTGTAGGATTTGTTGTTTTCAGCGACATCTAGTGGTTGAATCATCCTCGCTGGTCCTCCCCCCACCCCCACTCCCCGCTTCCAAACACAAAGGAGTTGCTACAGTGTCTCTCAGGTGTCAAAAACCTTTGATAATTCCAACCGCGATGTCTACCAGCAGCTTCAGGGCTAGTGATGTTTCAAGTGGTAAGATTATGAGCTTTAATAAGTAAAATTATCCCAGCTACAATGACAGACAACAAATATTACATTTATAGTATTACAACTAAAACCATTTTTGATGCCGTCAACGCAGTTTGTCCTTCATGAGCCTTTGTAGACAAGATGGCGGTGCAAGATGGTGGCTGCCTGTAGTGGCGACCCGCGACCATGGAGATATAAACAGCTTTTTATAAGGTAAAAATAATAAAAAAGGTCTTTGTCTGCAATGATTAGACATGTTTTTTTTATTATTGTCATTAATGATTATCTCAATTTCGGTTAAAATAATTGACAAAATCCTACACACTGTGCCTTTAAAGGAAAACTTTTGTTAATCAACCTGTTGTAAACAACTCTTCAAACAACTTCCAGTTAAAAAAAGAATCTAAATTTGATTTGCTTGATGAGCTAACGGCTAGTCCAATCACAGACATCCTAAATAAGCTTCAATCATAAGAAAATAGTGTTTCATTCAAAAACTTTATTCCACTATTAATTTTGTATCACACAGTTTATATTATAATTATCTGCAGTTTTACAAGAGCAAACAGCAGCAGCAGCAGCTGGCTGTAGCACTTTTGGTTCCATGTAGGAAACTTACAGCTGGATAATAAATACATATCTGCTAAACTAACCGTTTAATAAAAAACAGATGGCTCTCTAACAGTTTACAAATTAGCATTTGCATTAATCACGATGAAATATAAAAAACTGGAATTGTTTTAAAATGGCAGCTAATTCAGATTAGCTGCTAACTCATCAGTCTGCTCAGAATTTAAGTCCAGTCTGAGAGTTATCTGCAGCAGGTAAAATATTAGTTGCTCAAAAAGCAACCATCTGAAGACATCATCTAATGATTGCATTCTCATTAAAATCCGACACACAAACCATGCAGGCGTGAACACTCACCGTCATGAAAAGCAGACAATATGGTTTTAAAATTTACACTGCAGCTTAATTTTATTTGGTTTTAATTATCAGTGCTGGCTCTTGGCATAGGCAGTTTAGGCAAATGCTAAGGGTGCTGTCAATCTAGGGGGCGCCACAAATGATGTCCAAAATTTATTTTATTTAACTTTGTACCAAAGTATAGTTGATTAACTACTGGAACTCAGAGTGTAAATAGAAAACAGAATATTGATAATGGAGATTTTCAGTTATGGTCCCAGATAAAGTTTCAGATTTTTTTAGTCTGGTTTTTAATGTTATACTTACATAAGATACTGATTTTGTGTTGTTTTAATAATCTCAAGAGTTTAGTAAAATGCTCTTCAGATGTCTGGAAAATGCAGAGTTTTGAGTAGATCTTTTACAGAACTTTCTGGAGGATTATATGTCTGGCCCCCACTAGAACTGCTTCACTCCTGCTGCTCATTAACATGAACAGGTGTCCCTTGTTGCTGCCACATGTTGGCAGGTATGAGGTAGACTTCTGGTGTTCGGTTTCAAATTAATTTATTTAACTGTTTTCATTGGACAACCTGGCTTTGAAAGACAAAAAATAATATGAAAGAAAAACCTAATTAATTTTGTATGTGAATAGATGTAAATTGGCAGTGATATTTTGAAGGGGGCCGCCCAGGGCGCCAAATTGGCTCGGGCCAGCCCTGCCAATTATGCAGACAAAAATTTTTTTGAAGTGTTGCAACGAATTTTTAAAAGTTGATAGATATTTTCACAGACTTGTGCTCAAAACCTGTTTATTACATTATTCACTGTAGTGCTGTACCAAACGATTATTTTCTAATCGATTAATCTAACGATTATTTTTTCGATTAATCGATTATTCTAACAACAAATCTAAAAGTTATTCTGATGTGAGTGCACTGGATATTTAAAATGTTTTCATCAAATTAACAAGAACAGTTCTTTAATATTGTAATATTTTCTTAAATAGTTTTTTCATGAACACAAAATATGCACTCTAGAGTCAATTCTTTAACAAAAAAAGCTTAAAAGATTTAACAACATAATATCTCAACCAAAGCATATAAAATTCAACTAAAAGAAATATAGTGCAAGATGTTAACAATCTAACAAATGAACTAAATCATGCAAAATTCAAGTCACTCTGGAAAAACTATAATAAACATTTATTTATTATTTTTTATTTAACATATTTCTCAATATATAAAAATGAACAAATATCAAGACAACATCCAACTCTTTGTATTGTAACATCAGTTGTGTAACTTATTTCTTTAAGGTGAAAACTGTTGAAAACAACAAGTCTGTTTTGTCTTATTACACAAATTAAAATCCAGCTCCACGTGTTTCTATTTTTTTTCACCTGGTGGTTATGTAATACAGCGAATTGATAATAAAAAATCTGCGTCGACAAATTTACATAATCGACATCATCGATTATTTCAACCAATCGGTGCAGCCCTAATTCAGTGTGATGTAATGTGCATCCAGTGGTTATTTTTAGAAATTTATCAAAATCCTATTCAGTGGTTCATGATATATTTTGCTAACAAATCACAAGTTAATGGTAAGGATTTAAAACAACTTGAAAAATGTGTTCATAAACCAATCTTTTACAGCAAATCCTGTTGTTAAAATTTCTCCTTACTGGTCCCTTATCATTTTATCAATCTAAAAAAATAACAGCATTTGAAATGCTGAGTGTGACTCTGAGAAGTCACATCAGTTGTTTCCCTGTGGACTTTCTAAAATGCCCTAGGTGATGACTCGAGTCAGCTTACTACTCGAAAATTTCCCAAAATTGCTAATCTCAACACAAGAACCCAGCACTATTTATGAATTCTGGTGGATACAAACACAAAGCATGTATAAACTTCTCTTTTACAACGTCAACAGTTTTCTTGAGTGCAGTTCAGTCTAAAAATTACTCTCTGTGGAAACATTCCAGCCTGATCTCATCAGCGGAGTCACTGCAAGTCAAGACATTTAGCACGTTCTAACCAAGAAGCATCATTTCACTCTGCATGCTGTAAGAATGACGTGGTTGGTACTTTTACACAGATCCCAACCCTGTATTGATTTTTGAAGGTAAAGAAAATGAGATAAAAAATTTTTTCTTTCCTTAAACATTTGGGAGAATATTATTTTAGAACTGCACATGTTGCATTGCCTCTGATTCCCAAAGTTGATTTGGTGAATTCAATATTGAATGTTGGTGATGTTCTTCAAAACTTATATAATAATCAGTGGGTTAAAAATAACACCAGAAACACATCAAATAAAGCTCGAAATCACTGCTTAGTTATCAAGTTTCTCTGAATGAACTAATTCCAGTGAATACAATGTGGGTAATACTGCTTTTCTGATCAGTCATTTTCAATTCTGTTAAAAAAAAAACAACTAATGAAACTTTGCTTTCCATCAGGTCAACATGAGTGGAAGAAACAAGCCTTTTTTTAAGCAGCAGTCCACACCATGCTTTGGGAAGGGTGAGTCAAAACTTACACATTTTTACTGATTAATTCCAACATAATGCAGGGAAACAAATGATTTACTAAAGTTTATTGCACACATACTGACACAAATCAGTCCTAACAGGAGAACTGAAGTTTTTTCCTCCGTTTAATAATTTCACATAAACAAGCAACGGTTTAAGAGTCACCTGTTGGTAGCATGAGCGCAGAAACGTTTTGACATTTTATATTAAACTAATAAAACAAAATGTTCCTGCTGGAAGTCAGGAGTACCGATGTGTCCCAGTTTACTTCCAGATGCAGCTGTAGAGGAGCTCTATAAATGATAGTTTTGGAAACTTAATTTCCCATTTATATTACAGAAAAATGATGCTGAAGATCAGAAAAACATGTAAAAAGAAAACCGAGAAAAGACCTCGAGCTAAATCCTGAAACAGTTTCGGTGAAAATGAGACACCCTGAGAAACAGGTTGAGACACAAACTCCTCTGAGAAGGTTTTGTTTTTTGTCCTACCAGAAAAGAAGATCTAAACTGTGTGGTTTAATAATTTTCCCATCACCAGCTGAAAACAGGCTGGACTAAAATAAGAGATGGTCTACATCAGGGCTTTTCAACTGGTGGCCCGCGGGCCACATCCGGCCCGCGAGTGACCAAAGTTCGGCCCGCCAATTGGTTTATTCATATCTTAAGCCCAAACCCCCAGTTTTCTACTTTAATTACTCTAAGTTCTTTTAGTTAAACATAGACATGTTTGGTATCTACAGAAACGCCAGAATCTTGGCTACAAGCTGGTAAAAACCATTTCTATAAACACTCAAGACAGTTAAAACTACGAGCAGTTGAAAACAAAATGATGAAATTGAAAATAAAATTGGTTTAAAAATTTGGTAAGTCAGAGATGTCAAAATATTATTTGTGTCAAATAAGAGGCATAAAATGTTCTTTTTTTGTTTTTGATAATGTGTAATTATCACTACTTTTATAGGGTTCTGTATGTTGTATTCATGATTAAATGCAGCAAAATAAACTAATTCAAAGGTAACAGATATCTGTAATACTTGGTTTATTTACATAATAACTTGAATTGCTGGATGTTCTGCCCCTCAGCTGTTGACTGGCAGTAACTGTGGCCCCCGGAGCACTTTAGTTGAATAGCCCTGGTCTACATCTTTGGAATCTGTCATGATGCTGCTATGCTATTAGTGCTTGCCAAATACATTTTTCCCAGAAGAACCCTACTGCACCCTCACCACGCCCAATACGTAGAATAAAAAAGCTGTTTTTCAGTTACGAAACAGATTGTCTCTTGACACTCGTGACTACGAGGAGGCAGCCAAATTAGAGGTTCAGACAGTATTAACAGACATAAAATAATCCCTCAGGTGCTTTAGGTGCATTGGAGATGTTTGACACAGAATCTGTTTTTCAGTCACGCAAAAAGATGTTCTCGGTTTGGGGCTATCTCCCTGGAACACTGGCCGATACACACAAACCTCTCTTCTTGAAACACAAACACAACAAACTGTAATTGCTTTCTTTTTTCCTTTTCTTTTTTTATTTTTTGGCCTGAACTCCTCAAACTAAGCAATCACTCCTTTTGTTTTCCTCTAAAGCCTTGTGAATGGTCCTTTTGCTGAAGTGTAATATATAAACAAACTTGCCTTGCCTTCAACATCAGCAGCACACACCCACTACACCCATCATATCACAGCTGGACCCAACCCAGGCTGGACTCTTTTGGAGTACATCAAGATGCAACTATGTCCTGTTAGATTAGCAATGCTAGCATGATGCTGCTGTTATGGCCCATCTAGGTTCAAGTCAAGCATCTTGTTCTGTGTCCAAAAGATAAAGGACAGCTGAGTGTGGTGTGGTATTTATCAGTGTGTGAATTGGTCATTGCACCAATGTGCTGACCATAGACGTAGTAAAATACTACACTAAGCAGGGGTCGACATAACCATTGTTTAGGTTGTCCGAGACAACCTATCTTCGTTTCGGACAACCAGATCCCGCCTCCAAGTTGTCCGGTGGACAACCAAGAAAAAAGCAGCGGGTGTTCGTCTTTGTAAAAATGAATGGGAGGAAAAAAAAGTTATTAAAGCCATCTAGGGATTAAACTGACGGTTCTTTCACCCAATAAAGAGAACCACAGTCAAAGTTTTAGCCAATCAGAACAGAGCAGGGCGGGTCCTGCTGTCTGACTGACACCACTGCCTTTTTTCTTTTACTGTGGGTGGGGGTCAGCTTCACTCAGTCCAGGAAACGCTGAGGGTTTTCCCGGGAGGTGTTCACCTGAGCTATTTTCCACCGAGGATTACATCGTATTTTATATATATGAATACCAAGCCAAGATCCAGGCGCAAAAACCGTGATTTACGCACATCCGGACCCCGACAGCGGGTGTTGTTGGCGGCCTAGCGGGGCCGCGGAGCGTCGGACCCCCGCAAGTCTCACATCAGTGGACAGGCCTGGATCTCAGCTTCAATTCAAAAGTAGAACGGAGTCTCTGTGATGTTGTCCCGCGGAGATATAGGCTGAAAACCAAGCCAAGATCCAGGCGCAAAAACCGCGATTTACGCACAT